ACTCCTTATTAAAGCAAATACCTAATCAGCCAATCACATGGCTGCAACTCAATGCTTCAGCCATGTATAGACCATTTCACAAGATGTGAACAACACTGGTCCAGAAACACTTCCTGTTTCAGTTTGTAACTGTTTTCTTTATTTCACATGTAAAGAAAACATCTTAAAGATGGTTGTTTAACTTTTTGATTCAGTTTTAAATGTTCTGTTGGTTGTATTTTATCCCAGCTTTTATATAGTGTTAAAAAACTGAAACAGGAAGTGCTTCTGGACCAGTGTTGTTTACAGGACATCTTGTGAAATGGTCTATGGTCAAGTAGCCTACATATCTACTGAATATCAAAATGAGCTTCAGAATGGGGAAGAAAGGTGATTTAAATCCGATCTGCTGATGATGATAGGGTCCAAATTCGGCATAGACGACATGCAAGCATGGATCCATTACTACCCTGTATCAATAGTTCAGGCTGGTGGTGGTGGTGTGTGGGATATTTTTTTTTTGTCCACATATTGGGACTTCTAGTACCAATTGTTCAACTGTTTATGTGTAAAAGAAGGATTTATGTAATGTCCATTTTTCCATAGATGGGATGTAGACCCCCCCCCCCCTCCCTTTCTCCTCACTGCAACAAGTGCCCCCTTCCTCCCCTTGATGCAGGTGTGGGATCTGCTTTGTTGATCATAATCCTCTGTGTGCAAGAGCTGCTGAGTGTGTCTGACTCCTCCCCCTGACCCCCCCACCCCCACCCCACAGCCCACAGCCCAAGCACTGACCGTTTTGCTGGGCGACCTCATGGGATCCGACAGGCGTAAAAATAATGATGGACACCTTAGCCACCGCTGACCCGCCCTGACTCGCCCCCGACTCGCCTGCTCCACATGAGAGGTAACGCAACCACTTAACTGGGGCCCCGTAGATACACACACCGACGGGACAGACATACACACTCCTTCGCACACATACACTTAAATGCTTCCTGCTGAGAGCTATTTTCCCTTTTCTTCTCTATCAGTAGGGGGGCCTTTTAGACTTAAACTTCAAAATACACAGTCTGAAAAATGATAAGAACAGATCATTTGTGAGCAAACCTTCTTTGTGATGCTGTTTACTAAAGGATATGGACACTGGTGAGAGTTCATCTCTAAAATGACATAAGCTGTAGCCATTGTTCCAGTGACGTATCAATCACAATTAAAGTTAGCCACTTATGTGTTTAATGTCTTCATTTGAGATATTCGGTGTCATAAAAACAGTGACCTCGGTAACCTGAAATATGGTTCTGCACCTGAATGGATCTCAGGGGGGAGCATGAGAAAAAATGATTGTGTGTGAAGGTTTGTCTCAGATCCAGACAGTGTGTTAGAGGAGAGCTGAGGTGGGCTGTTTCTCTCAGCTTAGCACTAGGAAAGCGATGTAATACTTTAATTACAGTCCTTAATCACTCACTCTAAAGCCCTCATATTTCTCACCTCCCAAACATGTATCAGCTCGTTTACAGTAGACTAGAGAAACACCGCAGCTCAGCACACACAGAATCAGACATCCTACACTCTTAAAAATGTATCTTTATCACAAGTGCAAGAGAACATGTCTCATTCATCATCACACAAGTTTCACAGAGTGTGCAGTTTGACCTAAAACAACTGATTCAACTGTTATATGAGCGGAATTCTTTTTTCTTTCTAAGATGTACATTAGTTTTCTCTCATTTTAGCATTTAGGCCTGTGTGCCGGTGGGAATTGTAGCTTTCGACTTATGTAATGCCACAAATATTCTTCATTTCATTGTCATGTTTATGGAGTGTTGGAAGGAAAAATGGAATATAGAAATTTATTAAGGCCATTGCTTGATGGCAGCATATGGAAAGAAAACGCCTCCCCCCCCCTCTCTCTCTCTCTCTCTCTCTCTCTCTCTCTCTCTCTCTCTCTCTCTCTCTCTCTCTCTCTCTCTCTCTCTCTCTCTATATATATATATATATATGAAGAGTTCAGATGCAAAAGCCTCTAAGTGCCATTTGAAATTTTCTTCTAGAATGATAATTTTTATCAAGCTTGTATATTTAAGTTCAGTGATTTCACTTAAATGGCAATGATAATTACCTATTAATTGTTATTTAAGTGAGATTACTGAACTTAAATATACAAGTTTGATAAAAATCATCATTAAAGAAGAAAATTTCAAATGGCATTTAGAGGCTTTTGCATCTGAACTCTTCATATATATATATATATATATATATATGTGTGTGTGTGTGTGTGGCTCAGGTATACTCTACATTATGGGGATAAAATATTATGGGATATATGATAAATTATGGAATAGAGTACATGGGAGAGCAGTTATGGAGCTGAATATACAGATTGTACAGTATAAAAATCATTATGGCATTATTTTACAGTAATTGTTTGGTTTTGAGTCGTGTTTAATATATATATATATATATATTTTTTGTATTTTGGCAAAGATCCATTTATGGTGTTGGAATTTTGTTTTAATGGAAAGCACTTTGGCCAACTCGTGTTGTTTTTAAATGCGCTATACAAATGAACTAAACTAAACTATGGCTATGCAAATTCCCCATAAAACATGAAAACCCAACAAGTGTCTGTGTGTTTTATTGACTCTTTGACAAATTACTCATAACAGGCTTCCATTTTGACTGATCACTCCATAATTACCATTTCCTTATTTCCAAAACTATGACTAGACGTTCATTTTTTAAATTAATTTCATTTGATTTGGACTTGAACAGAAATGATCACAAGGAAGCCCTACACATGACACGCAGACATTTTTTTTCTTTAAATAGACCGGGTCACAAATTAAGAATTTGTTTTAAATATCCCCTGATTAATTTAGTTATAATGTGGCTACATTGCCTCATTTTAATTTAGCTAAACTGTGTCCCTGATTTAAGGAGGGAACAAATTAGGCTCTAGGAACAAATTCCAAATTTGTGACCACATTATCTTGTTTTTTGCTCACCATATGTCATATGCAGGACTCTGTAAGACTCATGAAAACAAAGACATGAAAACAGGGCCCAACTTTTGTACCCCAACTTTGTTTGATGCTTGACAGTTGGGGATAGTCATTCACAGCCACATTTGTGCTTGCGAGTAAATATGTCAGCTTCACATTTTCTATATGCATCCCATACCCCCACCAAAAAAAAACTAGGCTTTAGGCTTGTTCAGAAACAAGTACTTTATAGCTGTTGTCTTGTCTTTGAGGACAGTTCAGTTCATCTGTACTGAGAAACAGAGATCTTTTGAGGCAGGCAGATAGAGATGAGCACACAGGGTTGGGTGTTGGTGGGGGCTGCTGATTGCCTGATGATTGTCCCAGGTGCAAAGTAAGCGCACAATGTCAGGCCCCGACTAATTGACAACGTCATATTTGGCAGTGGGGTAAAGTGCTTAGAGAAAAAAGCAGCCTTGCGTGGTGTCTGAGTAAATTTGGCGACTCAGAGATGCTAAGTAAGCTCCTGCCTCCACTAGCTCTAATTATTGCTGTGCAGGATTCATCTGATGTGGCAAGGAGGACCACTGGGTTTGCACACTTGTATATGTATATGTATATATATATATATATTCAATATCTATATATATTCAATATATATATATATATATATATAATTTTTAATTTGTGCTCTCATTCGGTTTCTCTGAACCTGAAGCTGACTGGCCTCCACCCAAATCTACACCTCTCCATCTCCTCCTGGGTGGCACTGCCCTGCTTACTGAGGGAATTTCTCAATGGGAGTTTTTTTCCCTCCCCTTAATCTCTAAACAAGCACTTGGGTCTGTCCCGCTTTTACTCAGACAGTTCTAATGAAGAGAGGACAAAAGGAGGCGGGCAACCCCTTTTAATTCATCTCACTTCAGTGCGCTTTAATGACATCAAATCTTCTATACATGTTGTCTTTGTAGATTAAAGATAATTAAAAAAAAATCATAAATATATCAATGACAAAAATACCATTATACTTAGAGAGATGTAATCAAATTAGTTGTTTTTTTTTAGCACACAAACATACAGTAGCCTAAGAGCTGTTCTGGTACACACAGAACAATAGTGGTATTGTTTCTGTGAACTTGAAAATTGACCGAGACGCAGCTTTGCTATGTGTGCATCTTTCTGTTTTTTTCAGAGATGACTAATGCTCTCATACTGTATTGTCCCAGAAACATGTAGAAATAATTCTGAGGTCTGCAGGGCAGTCACTATGATGATGCTAATATTACATAACCAGACAGTCTCAGAGATTTGTGCATTGTGCAACAACACAGGGTTATTTTGTTTCGAAAATTCTTGTATTATTTGGTTCTTGTGTAAGAAAACTTTTTTTTTTTAATTATTTTTTATCTAAAATAAAAAGTCATGGTCCCACTATTTAAAAAAATTCTTAAGAAGTTAACCATTTTGCAGAGTTTTGATATTTGGGACTCACATTTGGGATCCTTATATCTATATAGGCTACACATACAAGTAAAACACGAATAATTCCAATAACGTGCAAAAGTTAATTTATTTCAGTAATTCAACTTAAAAGGTGAAACTATTATATTATATAGACTCGCAAAGCAAGATATTTAAGCCTTTATTTGTAATAATTTTGCTGATTTTGTCTTACAGCTTATGAAAACCCCAAATTCAAAATGACTTAATTTACTAAAGTTGAATTACTGAAATAAATGAACTTTTGCACAATATTCTATATTATTCGAGTTTCACCAATATAAAATTCAAATGATTCCAAATGTTTCATGTTTGCCTACTTGTTGCATATGTCTTGGTCATTTTAATGCATTTATTAAATTAATGCTGCCTTTATTGACCATAGGTTTGTAAATTCATACTAAAAGTTCAAGTGTCCGAGTGGAAAATATATATAAATAAATTAACAGAATTTTGAGATTTGAAATTGTAATTCTTTATTTTCTTTAAAACTTAATATTTTGCATAAATTTTGGAAAATAAATGTAGTGACTTTTATCTAAGATCATCAGCTATGAAACATCATTAAATCAAGTGAGTTAGTGGCATGATGACATTCAATAATTCACTTATCACTTATACAGGTAAAAATTTAATTTTACCCATAGCTTCCCAGACAACATAATTTTCTTTCCTTAAAGGACAAACTGCAAGTTACATAACTTAATATAAATAGTTTAAAACAAGTGTATAAAACAAAACAACTGCATTTACAAAAATAAGCCCAAAAAATAAAAAAAATAAGACTAAACTTTTTCGATACTGGACAATACTGAATCTTGGCAATCATGGAGACCAAGGAAATCCCTCCATCAAACTATACTAATATAAAGACTATTAGAAATTCAAACTAAAAAGATAAATCAATTTAAATTAGTGCATGATCCAAAAAACTGGCACATAATATGGAAATCTCTGTTAAGACAAAGGAATCCAATATTGAAGTGTGTTTCGACACTAATACATTGGATTTTACTCATTCGATGGATGTGTAGGCCAAAATGTCTCATTTAAAAGAATGTTATCTGCTTATAAGGCATGTTGCATTTCAGCATCACACAATGTTGAAAAAATAAATCTTTTTTTTTCTTATTAAAACATACGGATTATATTCACGAGCCTGATAGATTTATAACTCCGTTCCGTCTCGAGGGTAAATAAGACTGTTCACACTGAAGCTGTTGTAGAAGTGTCCGTTGAACTGCGCGCTCTGGCCGCCAGTAGTAAAAGAGTTATAGTACATTCCACGGTTCACGTGCACACTGTCCTGGAGTTCACCCGCTCCACTCGCCTCAGGTGCTGAGCTGCCATGGTAATGGCTCAAAGCGCTGATATTTCGGCTGGACAGTTCGTTTACCAGCCCCAGAGAGCCCTGTCTGCTTGTCGGAGCCGAAGACGAGCTTAAGGAAGACATGCTGTTGAAGAAATTGTTGAAGCAAGGAGCGCTCGCGAGGCCTGCAGGAGACGCGGCTTTATGACCGTCACTGGCCGCATCCGTGTCAGGAGATGCGGGTCCGGTGAGGTGAGGGCTCACGGTGGGTTTGATCCCTGCGAGCTGTCGGTCATCCTCCGGTTTTGTGTTGCTGGCAGCACCTGTGCTGGAATCAGATCTGCGCTTCCTTTTTCGACGAAAGTTCCCGTTGTCAAACATCTTTTCACAGTTGGGGTCAAGAGTCCAGTAGTTTCCTTTCCCTTCAAGCAAGATGGATAGTATATTAGGGCCAAAATATAGCAACTTTTCATTTACTGTAAAATTCCATTAATTTAAACATTAAACGAGTTTTTAAAATTAATCACTGGGCCTATGACTAAAAGGATTGTCGTTAAGGGAGAATCATGTGCCAAGTTCTTAGATATTTAATCTGTGTATTAATACCGGTTTCATTTGTTAACAATGCCTAGCCTATACCATTTTTATTTATTATAAATTTTGATTGCATGATTAAATTTTATAAAAATGTCAAGCATAATAATCAAAACAATAAAATACGCCCCTTGCACACTGTAGCTACATGTCTAAATTAACATTGTCCAACTTCTGTTTTCGAACAAGGTCTTTTGTTTCTTTATTTTTTCAACGTCTTAAAATATGGGGTATATTTAATTAACATCAAGACGTTTTCTTATGGGTTATTCCACTTGATAAACATGTTCAACATAAACATTTTTTTCCTTTCGATGGCTATAATTTAATAAATAATGAAAGATAATGCTTTATGTTTTTCTTAAATAATCTATTTATAGTCCACTTTCCAAGAACCCTTTTAATTTATTTATGCAGGCTATTTATTTACTTAGGGCCTATTTATTTTATACATTTTCATTCTCTGGACATGTATGACTTTTACTTCAGAAATAAATCGAAGGTACCATACGTGAATGTGCTTATGAGCTAAGTGTTCTCAAGTCATTTTAAACTTTAGTTGCATTTTTTTAATAACTAAGGTCTGGACAAAAATGACTATCATGTCATTGTCGCTGTATCACAGTAGCTCACTTGTTTCGTAGCCTACTAGGTGCAGGAGCATCACTCACCTGGGTCGTCTTCGTCACGCGGCACTTTTTTGAAGCAGTCGTTCAGGGAAAGATTGTGCCTGATGGAGTTCTGCCATCCTGCTTTACTCTTCTTATAAAATGGGAAATTTTCCGCCACATATTGATATATCTGGCTCAAAGTTAACTTCTTCTCGTGCGCGTTCTGTATTGCCATGGCTATCAGAGCCGAGTACGAGTACGGCGGGCGCACGAGCTTTAAAAGTTCCTCTTGGCTCGCAATGGAGAGCCAGCCTAGGTCCGGACCGGCGAACCCAGAGGAGTTAGAGAGATATTGCCTCTGAGAGCCGTAAGCCGGGGGAATGAATGAGGGGCTGTTGTTTCCATGTATGTAAGACGAAGAGGAGTTGACACTAGGTCCATTGAGCCACAGGTATGGGTTTGGGGTCGCGTAGTCCCCGAGGCCGTAGCCAGTTGGTCGCTGCGTCGCAGGTAGACTCTGTTGGTGGTAAACACTGAAGTTGTCACAGTACACAGCCATATCTGGGGTCTCGTGCGCGCTTTTTGGCAGTTGCTGGAGAGGGTTGACAGCAGCGTTACTATTGTTATGGATCTGCGCGTCGATGGTGTTCATATCTCCAGTGCCTATAAGGCAAATGTGTCTCTCTGGAGCTCACGCTCTCACAGTAACGCACTGTGATACTATCTCTGACTGGTCAAGTTAAAAACAACAAGTGTCTGCTTTTTGTGAGCTAAATGTGGTCATATATACACCCAAGTGCGGCAAATACGGTGTCTTATGTTGTATTCTTGACTCCTTCAGCCAATAGATGACAATCTCCTCGAAGTAGGCGTGGCATATAGATTGGGAATGGGATTGCATTGAGATGATTTAAATCATTCATAGAGAGAGAAAGAGAGAGAGAGAGAGAGAGAGAGAGAGAGAGAGAGAGAGAGAGAGAGAGTCTCAAAACAATAGCGTGCCCTCTAAAAGCCCCTTTTGCAAATTAAAAAACTGACCTTTGTTTTAGCTATTGCTTAGCCTATATTATGAACAGAAAGTTCATAAAACAGAGTAGCCTGTTCTTGTTGTCTTTCTTTTTGAAATCTCAGCTGATTTGAAAAAAAAAACAACAACAAAAAAACAACATTATAACGCTTTTGTACAATTGTTAAAATTATTTTACCTGAATAAGTAAGTTAGCTATTTACAGCCACTAGAAAAATATACGATCATTACATAAATAATCAGATATTTTCCGAAGCATCTTATTATTAGTGTTGTTGTTTTTGTTGTTATCAATTGTTGAAGTTTACTGGCCTATAGCCTATTTATGTAAAACTTCCCGGTCTGGAGTGTCACTGTATGCCTCATTAAATCGTTTTATAAAAGGTGTATCCGTGACAATAAGTTTGTTTCATTAATAAAATATTAATTCATCATTTTAAAATATGTTATGTGAAGTTACTGTACAATTAAACTAAATTTTACTCGCTGCTTAAACATAGCTAATTATGAAGGCTAAAATATAAAATCTGCTTTACAGCCAATATTTTATGCCTAGCTAATTTTTTTTTTTATTATTATTTTTATGCCTAGCTAATCAGTTCCAATTTTTCATTTTTTTTTTTTCATTTTTTATGTTTTGGAGCAACACTGAGCATCAAAATGTCACCGTTTCAGAATATAAATAGTACTCTAATTATTCTTTATTTTAACTGATTTAATTTTTTTTGATTTCTGCACTTGCCAGTTTCTGTTCCGAGAGGGCATCTTGTAAAACCTTTTCTTTTCTTTTCTTTTCTTTTCTCTAATTCAACAAGTAGGCCTAGTTTTCACAACCATTTTAACAAGAACAATTTTTCTGTGAAATCCAAAACCTTCAGCAAAGGATTTCGATGAGGAATATTCATCATCACAGACAACTGAATATCATATAGGCTACCAACGAACCATGACACTGTCATGACCGATGGGTCCGTGGCAGCTGTACACAGTTTGACCAGACAATTTTTTTTGTATAGATAGAATAAAATATACATTAAAGTACACAATATTTTTTTGTCATCTAAAATTACTCCCACATAAAATAATAATGTAGATTATGCAAATGATATAAATAACCACAATTATATCATATCAAGTCCTATGCTAAGAATGATCTATTCAGATGGAGGCCTGAAATATTCTCAGGTAGGTTTTTGTTGTTGTAGGTAGTTGCTTTCTCCAACTATCATAATAGACAGGCATGCCATGATGCCTGTATCTTTGCGCCACCTAGTGTTGAAAGTGGACTAGTGACGTACTACTGATATGGATGTTTCCATTGCAGCGAGATATTACTCGCTACTCGCACGATGACGTTCTAATTGAAATCCTCTCAGAGAACTGACACAGTTTTAACTTTTGTGACCCTGGACCATGTGTTTTTATATAGGCATACATCAACATACACACCTATTATAGCATATCTATCGTTGAATCAAAGACACGTCGCCAACCTATAATTAAAAGATAGCCTACTCTTTCAACCTATGTGCCCCAGTACAAAATGGTCTAGCGTCTGCCAATCGCTCCCGTCGTGTTGTCCACGATTTATTTCACCGCTAGATGGGGCTAGATCCATTCAGAAACACGGCAAATGTCCCTGTATATGTTGCATTGCAAATGTAGGCTATGTTTTAAGAAAATATGTCAGTAGCCTATCACCATCAAAAGATTTAGCTGCATATTCAGAAGAGCTATCTAAAATTTAAAGTTATAACATTTAAAATGTAATTATTCATTAATGGCTTTCTGCAATTATTGGAACATAAAAGAGTGTATAGAAAGTTATAGTGGTATTTTTTTCTTACACAACTGAACTTTTCCCACCTCAAGGCCAAAGTACCAGTATATAGCTACTAATATTGAACAATTTTATTATTTTAAATGAATTAGAAAATGTTCTCATTGAGGTGTAACATTCCTTTTACATTACATGCTACTCAAATATTATATTATATTAACAAAAAGACATTAGTATTATTTAAACACTAGTTTTTATTATTAATACTTTTGACCTAATTTTAGTTAGTTGCAGGGAAATATTTAAAAATTGTTTTTATAATGTTTGATTAGTTTAACAATAACAATGCTGGAATACAGAATTGTAACACAAATGGCACATTGCAACTTATATAAAATGCATCCTCCAGATAGCAGTTCTCTAAATGGGAATTTGACAATACGTTCAAAAGCAATATGGGAAGGAAATCCATAATTCAATATGTATGTGTACATGAGCGGTGGCATCATTAGTGTGTGTTACTTATATCTGAGACATGCTGTCACTGTGCTGCTACAGCAGAGTAAAGATCAAGGCCTGCTGTTGCCTGTACATCGAGAGGAAACCCAACTGAAGGAGAGGCTGTGTGTGTGCGTCAGTCCAGGAAAACAATAGGAAAAGTGAGTTTCACAAGCTCATTATGAGTTCACCTCAGGCTCCTGCACCTTGGTGACAGAGCAAACGACATGAGAAATGAGAGGAGTGTGAGGCTTCGACAGGAACAGGCGAGAAGGGAAAAAAGCGTGTGAAAGAGGCTGCGCTCCCCTCTTCTCGAGTGTGGTGACAGAGACAGATGGAGGTAGATATACTCTGTGCTTCTCATTTACAATACAGTGTCACTCTTTCTCTCTTTGTTCTTTGTTTCCGCTCTGCTTCCCATTTCCATCCCAGTTTAAGTTATTGAGATAAAGGCCCATTTATACCCTGGTCACTATTCCTGTAATGATCTGTGCTCATTTTATTCCTCCGAAGAACACAAAATTGATGCAAGATTATATAGACCAGTGTTTCCCAAAAGCTTTTGTCTCAGGTGCCATCAGTAGGGCTCAAATGAATAAAATATATGTTAAAAAGAACTCTTGCAATGTACTAACAGACCATTTTTTAAAATTAATTTATAATACACGTACATGAGTAAACACAGCATGAAATACTTTCGGAAGTTGATGTGCAGTCTGACATGCTAAATTATAAAAATATTTTACTAATCATTTAGCTTTTTTTAAATAAAATAGTAGCCTATAATTAATTAAATAACGGTCTCTTAGTTATAATCAATGCTGCATGCAAAATCAATATTAAGCTATATAGCAGGTACTAATAATTACAAATTATTAATAAAAAATCTATTAATTAAACAAATAATAATATTAATATTTGAATAGTTCTAATTTGTTTTATTATTTTTTTATTTCGTTATAGTGAAAATGTGCTATTGTTACAGAGATTTTGATGATTCAGTCATATAAATAAATATATTGTTGCGATAATTCGGACATTTAAAGCCACATTTTAGGTTAAAGGGTTAGTTCACCCAAAAATGAAAATTAAGTCATTAATTACTCACCCCCATGCTGTACCAACCCCGTAAGACCTTCGTTCATCTTCGGAACACAAATAAAGATATTTTTGATTGAATCTGAGGGCTGTATCACTCTTCCATAGACAGCCTGAGGGACTGGCTCTTGACGGCCCAGAAAGTCATTAAAAGAAAAGGTTTAAATATTCCATGTGCCTACAGTGGCTCAACTATAACTTTATCAAGCGACGAGACTACTTTTTGTGCGAAAAAAAACGTAAATAACGACTTTATTCGACTTTCCATTACTTCCTTATGGGCGCATGCGCGAGAACTGAGACGAGACCGTTCTTCTTCGACTACTTTTTGTTACCGGCTGCTCACCGCTTAGGAGTTTTACCGCCCCCTACCGTATAAGATGACGTACTGCTTGTAAACAGAACGTTTTGCGCCTCCGGCTATATCAGTACGTCATCTTATACGGTAGGGGGCGGTAAAACTCCTAAGCGGTGAGCAGCCGGTAACAAAAAGTAGTCGAAGAAGAACGGTCTCGTCTCAGTTCTCGCGCATGCGCCCATAAGGAAGTAATGGAAAGTCGAATAAAGTCGTTATTTACGTTTTTTTTTCGCACAAAAAGTAGTCTCGTCGCTTGATAAAGTTATAGTTGAGCCACTGTAGGCACATGGAATATTTAAACCTTTTCTTTTAATGACTTTCTGGGCCGTCAAGAGCCAGTCCCTCAGGCTGTCTATGGAAGAGTGATACAGCCCTCAGATTCAATCAAAAATATCTTTATTTGTGTTCCGAAGATGAACGAAGGTCTTACGGGGTTGGTACAGCATGGGGGTGAGTAATTAATGACTTAATTTTCATTTTTGGGTGAACTAACCCTTTAACTGACAAATATTTTGTTGTTGTTGTTCAGTTCATTTTTTGTTATTGTGGGAAGATTCGTTTTGTGTCTATTCTGAACTTAAACCAGTTCTGCTTTAAACATGATGAACAAGAGTGACTTTGGATCGTATTCTAATGAATGCCTTTACAAGCAGTTAGAATCGTTCACCAGAGGCCAGATAACCCACAGAGAGCTAACTACAGTATGTCTTTAATATAAACACACACAGGGGCAGTGTATGGCAGAGACATGTGAAGGAAATACCAGTGGTTTGCTTGGCTAAGCTAAAAACATTTAGAGTCTAAATAAATCCTCAGAAACTTACAAGGTAA